ATAGAAATGTGGTGTTCAGCTTTGAAAAATTCTTTAGTGACATATAGTGTGACAAATATTGTGAAAAGTATAGACTTTGATGAAACGACAAAAAATGATTAAGAAGAAAATATGTTCAAATTCATTTGGAAAGTCAAAAAAATGGTTTGAAAAATGTTCGATGGCAAGTTAAAACAAGTCATGAAAGTAATGTTGATAGTCAGAGCAGTTGCAAAATCGCAAATGTGGTTAGAAAGTCAAATATTTATGCTTAAAATATGAGAAAGTTGTTGAAAATATAAGCTGGAAGTTAAAATGTTTATTAGAAGATCGAATTGATCGTTTTGAAAGTCGAAGGAAGTTCGTTGCAGAATTGTGAAAATTAGTTTGGAAGGTTGGAAAAGTTAGCTATAATAGTTGGAAAGTCGAAAATGTTGGTTGGAAAGCTATGATAATTATAGCAGGCCAGTCGGTGTAGAAAGTTAGTCAGAAAGTTGCAAATGTTGGTTTGAACGTTGAAAAATATGATTTGAAACTCGAGGAACATTCAGGTGAAAGCCAAAAAAGTTGGTTGCAAAGTCGTTGGTTGGTTAGTAAAAAAAATGTCGAAGAATGTCGGGTTAGAAAGTTCGGAACAGTTAGTTGAAAAGTTGGTTGGATAGTCGTAAATTTGGTTGAAAAGTCGAACATAAGTTGTCCTAATAAAATTTGCTGGAAAATCAAAATTTGGTTTGAATGCTGTATAAATTAATTTCTAAATCGAGAAATATGTATGGAAAGTCAAAAAAGTGGGTTAACAAGTCGTAGACGTTGGTTGGAAAGTCGAAAACATTGATTAGAAAGTCACAAATGTTGGTTCAAAAGGTTGGTTGAAATGTCAAGAACATTGGTAGGAAAGTTGAAAATGATTACTTAAAATATGAAAAAATAGCCAGGAGGTCAAAAATGTTTGTTGGATAATCGAAAATGGGTAGTCAGTTAACAAAGTTCGCTGAAAATTAATTGGAAAGTTGTTAATACAGTTGGCTAGGAAGTCGAAAAGTTGATAGGAAAGCGGTGAAAAATAGTTTTCTAAGAAATGTGGTTCAAATGTTAATACCTTTGGTTGGAGAGTCTGGAAAGTAAAAAAAATTGGTTGGTAAGTTGGTCAGTAAGACGAAGGGAAAAGTGGTTAAAAATAACTTGGACTGGTAAAATCTGCACATGTTTGGGGTGATTATTCAATTGAATTAATTAGCATTATGTAAAGCGTAACATTCAATCGAGTCATTGTAATCGTCTTCCTCTGTACTGGGAATATTTGCGTTGACGACGACGGGATACGAACTGGTAATTTTCTATCTTCTATTGTACTTCATGGCTCATAATACAACAATTATTGTGTTTACCAGTAAGTTGTATATATTTATGTGTTGACTGTTTTCGTAAGCATTTATTAGAAGGCTTGACAGGGGTAGGTTTGGAAACTGTAATTTTCCTTTTTCGATATAAAAAGCTTTGTATTACAGTGCTGCTTTTACCCCTACTGTAATACAAAGCTTTTTATATCGAATTTTTATTTTAAATCTATTTATATGTAACAATTCTCTCCATATTTTATTAGCTTATTTAAAGTATGTGACTAATTATGGATTCGAACCTGCAACTTCTTACGGTCTCTATTTCAATCTACAGTAATCCAATTAATACCATAATACTAACCCGACTCTTAGTCGTAGAGGGCTCCGCTGGATTTTCATAAGCCTTAATCATATTTAAGTGAAAATATTAGAATAGTTGTCACATGAGTTAATATTGCTGGTTATCTCATTTTATTTATAATATGTATTGCTTACATTACACCAATAGGTTGGTTACAGTATACAAATGAATTGCCTCTCCAGGTGCTGAGCGACGGGCTGAATTCCTTCCCATTGATGATTTTAATCCCAATGTAGTTTTATTCTTACGTGAATTTTACTTGATTTGTGTAAGACCACTAACTTAAAAATTAGTATTGGGAGATTTACTTTCCTGTCTGAGAATGGATGGGGACAGTGTGGTATTATTTTTATTGTGTGATATTCTAAATTTAATTTCAGATATGTACGCAAATAGCATTTATATTTACAGTAGAAATCACATACCTAACCACAGTTTTGGTAATCAACCAGATATTGAGTGTAATAGTAATAACCATGATACTAGTACTAATGTAGTTTGTAATAAGTGATTTAAAAAATCATTGCACAGGGGATAATAATAATTCCATCACTGCGGGGAAAATTGTCGCTCACAATTTACCTAAACTTCAGTGCTATGTATGGAAGTAAGTAAAACTACTAAACATAAATCAAGGTCACATGGCTGCGGGATACAGATCATAATCAGTTGAAAGCTCGTATAAAACAGCTACTTAATGTTCATAAACGAATACACCGTCGGCATCAACACATTCAAAGAGTTCAAATAAGATCAATGCCAATACTGTCGGAGATTCATAATATATATTTGTATTTGTTTAATATTACTAAGAATTATAACTACTATTCTTATTAACTACCGTTATAGTAGTTAATTCGTATGAATGATTCTTCTTTACTAATCATCTTACTCGTTATTGTATCCCTTTTCTTCCCACGCAATTTGTACATTTGTATTTGCCTATATAAAATGTTATTTTCAGATATTAGAGGGTTTTTTATGTGTAAACTGTTAGTATGTCAGTTGGTTACTAAGCAATAAACCATACCATGTTTTTGCTTCCACATTTTGTCTGTTGTTATATTCCGTTATCGAACATTCCCGAAAGTACGTATTCTATTGCCCACTAATATTGTGACCTATTGAGGCATAAAAAGACACATCGTGATCTTCACAGACAAACAAAATCTGACAACAGATTCAAAATCTAAACATTCCTAGTCATTGTTTAGACCTCATACTCCGGGGTGTCCCAAATTATATTTCACTTCAAAAATGGTTCGAGTATTTCCAGTCTTATTTAACACACAAGGACATTTCAATAATCACTCTAAAATTTGATAAAATAAAATAAAATAAAATAAAATTTGATAAAATAAAATAAAATAAAATAAAATAAAATAAAATAAAAT